GGCATAAAGGGTACCACAAACGGCCACAGGACGATCGTGTACCAATGGTGCCGATATGCATAAGAAGACAGCGTTCGGAAGGCGAATGGCAAATGCAGTATAGAGAGAATGTCCGTCCCGTGAGCGAGAAAGACGAAATCCACCTTTGGTTTCCTGCCTGCAAAACAGTGAAAGTAAAAACCAAAAAAAAAAAAAAAAAAAAGATGGTTAGGGGAGGTAAGACCTAGAAGAAATAGAGAATCCTCCTGTGGGGTTCATGAAACCCCAAAAAAAAAAGCCAAGGCCGGATGCCTTCCCGAAGATGAAAACATGGAAGCATTTTTTTGTCAACGGACGCCGGGCATGTTGGCTGGCATGTATATTAAAGAAAAGAGGGAAACTGTGGCTGTGAGTCCTGTGACACACTTTTTTTTTTACTTTTGTTTCCCCCTTTTTCGGAAATGCCCATTTGCAAGCCCTCTATCCGCGTGGTGACAACCTTTTAGATTGAAATGGGCAAGAAAAGACAAAGTGGCACTGGAGTCATGGTGTGAATTTGGAAATGTCCAAGTTTAGCGGGGGTCTAAAACTGTGCCAGTCATTACCCGCAGTGGCGCTTGGCTGATTTATTAGGGGGGTTGCCTTTTTTGCTCCACTCATTTTCGGGAACTGCTAGAACTGCTAAAGTTGCCTATTCTGAACGTTGGGTGTAATTCAAAATGTACTTGCCCCTAAAAAAAAGATTTTCTTCTCACAAACGGCTGACTCTGGATGCATCTGACCACAATTGCGTCCTCAGTTGACCCCCGACTGACTGACTGACTGAATGAATGACTGACTGAATGACTGACTGAATGACTGAATGACTGAATGACTGACTGACTGACTGACTGAATGAATGAACGAATGAATGGATGGATGGATGGATGGATGAACGAATGAATGGATGGATGGATGGGTGGATGGGTGGATGGGTGGATGGGTGGATGAGTACAACCACATGTACGTGAGACCCTTCTGCAGGCCTCTGCAGGCGTCTGCAGGACTCCGCAGGGCTCTGCAGGCATCTGAACACATCATGAATGAATTTAACTGGGTGTACAGCAGGCCCATACATCCACCAAAGTACACAAGTCAACCAAACATTTAACACCAGGCAAATGCAATGATTTGCAGCCTTCTGTCTCGCCCGTCACCCCAACCGGACCGTCCCTGAAGGGGCCGCTGTTGGAGAACTTCGGAGGCCACTAGTAGCTGCAGTACCGAGGTGTTGGTTTCCCGCCAGCAGGAGGACCCCATTTTTTAACGAAGCGCCTCGTGCAGCAGCGCTCTCCTCGAAGTTCCCGCCCGCTGCAGCCAGGCCATTGCCAGCTCGAGCTCCTCCATCGCCCAGGAGTCCAGGAGATTGCTGTCGACAAGCAGGTTGCCGTCTCAGCAGGGAGACCATGGAAGGTCGCGGAGGAGGAAACTGCTGCAATGGAGGAGAGCGGCGGGACTGACAAGAACGGTGCGGAGGGGAACGCCTTTGATTCCGAAGAAGAGCCTCTTGCACGCAAGAAACGCAAACAATCAGAGTCAACAGACTGAGGCGGGATACTTGGGGGCTGGAGCGGGTCTGGAACTGATACTTGGGGGCTACAGAGGGTGTGGAACTTTGCTGTGTGTGTTTGTGTGTGTGTGTGTGTTTGTGTCATGTGTGCCGGTTCAAGATTCAAAGTTCCAAAGCTCCAAACTTTGAAGTTCGTACGTTAATATTTCCAATTTTAGTAGAGCATTTTGGACAAACACTTCCCCACAAACCTGTGTGGATCTGTGTTTGTGTCATGCGGCTTTTTTTTTTTTGCTTTTTTTTTTTTTTTTCCGGACAACCGGGCACTGATACACCCAACCGGACTGTCCGGGTCCAGTTGTCCGTATGTCCGGTTAGATGTCCGGTTAACCGGATGTCCGGCTTAATCCAGACACGGGTCCGGTGAATGTGTCTGGCTGTCCGGCTGTCTGGATAACTGTGTCCTGAGCAACCATGCTTTTTACACTGGATAGAGCTTGGACGCATTAAACGACGAAAAGGTGAAAAAAAAAAAGGAAGGAGGGAAAATTGTTGAAATGGCCCTCAAAGTTCGGCTATTTTGTCAAATACCCCTAAAAGCCATGGGTATGGCGAAATGCCCCTATGACAGTAGTGAAAATTTGCGAAATACCCCACTCGCCAATTGGACCTTCTACCGGGCCCTGGGCATCTTGTCTATATGCCCCAGTATTTTAGGCCATTCGACCCTGCAGATTTCAGAAGAAATGCACGCCCCCCTGCCGAAGTTGCCAATGAACGGGACAGGGGCAGATGCAGAAGTTTGGGGCATTTCAGTGTACTCCCGTGTTTTAGGGGTATCTAACGAAATACCCAAAGTTTGAGGGGTATTTCAACAACTTTCCCAAGAAAGAAAGAAAGAAAGAAAGAAGGCACCTCCTCTAACAGTTGAATGAAACCACCGTTCCTATTGCGGATCCAATTTTTTCCCATTTTCTGAAAAATCAATTCCTTTTTACACTGGATAGAGATTGTCCACATTAAAAGAATATAAAGGGAAAAAAGAAAGAAAGAAAGAAAGAAAGAAGGTACCTCCTCTAGCAGTCGAATGTAGCCGCTCCGATTGCGGATCCATCGTGCCCCCCATGTAGTCATACAGCGGCATGAAGAGGCAGAAGTTGGTATGCACCTGGGAATGGTGGAGAGAATGGTACCTGCAAACGGGCACAAACGGAGCAAAACGGAGAGCGTTTACAATTTGTCACTTGCGGAGTCCAATTTAACAGTGAAAGGTGAAATTGAGAGAAGAATATAGCTTAGTTCTAATATTAACTAGCTAAGTGCCAGCAGAAATAACAAATGTAGTGGGTGACCTCATGCTGACCGCTTGCATAAACTCAGATAGACTTAAAAAAAAATAAAAAATTCAAAGGGTAATAAACATGGTAAGCGCGGACCGGACACCGGACACTTCCGGACTGTCTTCCGGACCAGTGTCTGGACCGGTCCAGACTGTCCGGTGATCCGGACACCACCGGACACCGGACATCACCGGACACCGGACAGTCCGGACCGGTCCCCGGGGTGCAAAAATGTCCGGACCCAAAAAAAAAAAAAAAC